ACAACAACAACAACAACAACAACAACAACAACAACAACAACAACAACAACAACAACAGCAACAGCAACAGCAACAGCAACAGCAACAGCAACAGCAACAGCAACAGCAACAGCAACAGCAACAGCAACAGCAACAGCAACAGCAACAGCAACAGCAACAGCAACAGCAACAGCAACAGCAACAGCAACAGCAACAGCAACAGCAACAGCAGCAACAGCAACAACAGCAACAGCAACAGCAACAGCAACAGCAACAGCAACAGCAACAGCAACAGCAACAGCAACAGCAACAACAACAACAACAACAACAACAACAACAACAACAACAACAACAACAACAACAACAACAACAACAACAACAAACCAGAAACCACAAACCGCAAACAACAAACCACAAACAACAAACAACAAACGACAAACGAAAAGCAACAAGCAACAAGCAACAACCAACAACCAACAACCCACAACCCACAACAAACAACAAACAACAAACAACAAACAACAAACAACAAACAAACAAACAAACAAACAACTAAACAAACAAACAAACAAACAAACAAACAAACAAACAAACAAACAAAACAAACAGACAGACAAACAAACAAACAAGCAAACAAACAAACAAACAAACAAACAAACAAACAACAAACACCAAACAACCAAACAACCAAACAACCACACAACCAAACAACCAAACAACCAACCAACCAACCAAACAAACAAACCAACAAACAATCAAACAAACAACAACAGCAGCAGCAACAACACCAACAAGACAACCCACACAACCACAACGACAAGCACTGCGTTCTTCGTTGTACCTGTCCAGGCACTCTACGCCAACGGCCACGCGCTTCTGCTGGCCACCAGACAGACCTGGCTCAACAGGAGGAATCAGAACCACGAAAATGGCCTCTGGATTTCAAAACTGGTCTGCCTATACCACGCAAAGGGGCGCTTCCAAAAAAAGGGAACCACACTTGGCTGTGCTTGTTGACCTGGATGATGGCCCTCGAGCGACAAAGAGCAAAGATCCTGAATCTCTGATAATGGACATTGCGCCCCGAGTTCATCTCTTGGAAAAGGTGTGTTAAGGGCAGGCGAGCGGCCCTTGCGCAAAGGACCCCCCACGATGACGGTGGCCGCATCCTGGCGGCCGTTCGATTCTCCGGGAGACTGCGCCTTGCATAGCTGAGGGTTTCCTGAGCAGCTCAAAACTAAGCTGTTCAATACAATCTGATCCGGGCTTTGGACCATTCAACCAATAGGATGTGATACGCATTGGTAAGTTGCAACTAACGGAGTCCACATGCCTCCAGATGCAGGTCGACCAAAAGCTTCTCCACCAGCTGATTGCGCTGGGACTTCGACACGTTGCGAGAAAGTCGCAGATATGCCTCATGTGGGAAACCAAGGCGAAAACGCTGTAAACTCTTCACCCAAATATCCCAACCCCCCCCCTCCCCAAAACCCCTCCTCCCCGACACGAAAAGAGCATTCGAGTCAAAATCTGGTAAAGGAGCTTACCACCATGTACGTGGCAATAAGGCCGGATATCCTCCCATGACTGGGGCTGTCCCTGGAAAGTAGATGGCCCTGCCACTTCCAAGCGAAACCGAATCGACTTCAAGACCAAGGGCCTCCCATGCCTTCGGCCCGACAACAGCTAGGCTTTGATTTCTGACATCTTTTGCTTTGTGCCTGGTTCTGCTTAGGACACCATGAAAGACTAGTGATTCCCAAATGGTGGTGACGAGATATTCATCACATGCTGGAGTCTGATGGTCCCGGGGCTGTAAGAAAATGGTGCAAATCGGACAGCACATCGCAACATACTGGGCAATTCACTCTACTTAACTTGGAACACTGGTAATTTCCAGCTGGTTTTGGGTTGGCTAAAGGATGGAGTCTGGTTTGTTTCAGCTCTGGGCTTAAGGTTGGCTAGGAGGGGGGGTAATGGTCTATGGTCTATTTTGTGGGTTTGAAGCTAGTTTAGGTTGGATCTAGTGTTTGTTCAGGGAATAGGTTTGAATCAGGGGCTGGTGAGAGGCTGAGGCAAGGGACTTTTAGATTGGGGCGTTGCTTAGGATATGGCTTTGGTTGGCTCTGTTTCTGGACTAAGGCTGGCTGATTTGGGCTGATCCTTAGGGCTAGGCACCGCTGGATTTGCTGATTGATTCAGGCTGGGTTAGGCTTCGATCAGGTTTTGCGTAGTTTGGATAAGTTTCGGGTTTGGCTCAAGGAAAATGTAGGCTTGGTTTCAGCCGAGGATGAGGCTGGTTGAGTCTTGGTCTAGGTGGTTTTAAGTTGTTTGGCTTGACTGTGTGAAAGACTAGGGGTTAGGTTGCATTTCGGGTCAAGTGAGTATTTGTGTCGGTGCGAATTAGGGTGGTTTAGGACTGCTTGAGGGTGGGCTTCGCTGAAAGCCAAAATAGCACCAGGTAAGAAGCCGCAACTGATGCCCAACAAATGCCCGAGAGACCAACAAAAGGCACAACCAAAGACCCTGCAGATTCACTCGCTTCGCTCAGACAAGATGCGGAAAACTCGAGGCACTCTCGTGGAGTGTCGCTGTCCATGAGCGCATTGTCCTGGAACCGTCTGGCTCTCTGAGGCGCAGCTTTACGCAGTGTTTCACAGGCCAGCGTCTGCCGCCAGTGAAGTGTCACACGACACGCGAAAGATGATAAAATGGCAGCAGTTGGGCGAGTTTCACAAAAGTGGCGACCCTCTTCGCACCCGCGCGGGGGCCTTACGCACCCGGCCTGGAACACATACGCCGTCTTGCCGCGGAAGTAGCTGGTCGAAACCGGCCGGCCACGGGCGTAGATGTCGCCAGAGAAATGCACTTCTTGCTTGTCGTTGCCGGTCCTACATGGAAACGAGGAACTGGTCAAGACCTTTATTATGTCCTCCACTAGAGAGGTTGGAATAAGGGTACCAACTTTTTTCTGTAGTGTATTTTAGTAGGGGAGCCCTCCCCCAAAAAAGGGCAAAAGGGCACCACTGAAAAACCTAGTTCAGAGAAATGCTACAAAGTCATTCTCCTGTGGCTGTGGGTCAAAAATGCGTACCCAAATGGCACTGTGATAAATGGAACCAAAGACTAAAACCTGCGGTCCCCTGGTGGGTTTACTTTGACCCATACCCCTGTCGCTTTGTTTTGGCTGGATGCGCAAAGCGCTGAGAGGGCAATGATGCTGAAGAGACCAGATCGAACAAATATTCTGCGCTTTTAGATGCCTTCACCCATGTGGAAAAAAGGTTCTTGCTTTCAAACAGACACACACACACACACACACAGAGCCACAGAAGCCAGTCAGAAGAAGAAATGTATGCTACGCAACGGACAAATCGCAAAATCGGGCAGTTCTTCCGACCTGGGAAATCGAGTGAGTCCCACATGTCCTTCACCCACAGATTGGAAGTGTTCATGTAAGGTCCTGAAACCCACGAACTGTTGGTTCTACATAGTACAGATTCAGGCCTTGCTACTTGTCCCGTTAGACCAGGTACCACCTAAAATGGCCAAGAGAGCCACAGTCAAAACCCGGGTACATGAAGGTTGGTAAGGGACCATCCCAACCATAAATAGCTGCGGCCGCCTTCTAAATTCCTTACATGGTTCTGGGTAGACCATTTTAGTACCGGGTTTTGATTGTGACTCAAGAGGACTCCGTGTTGGGCGCATTCGTTGCCTGGAGTAGCCCTTCAGCCGCTGGCGACCGGAGAGGACGTTCAGCAGCCTGGCGCTTCAGGTGCCTGAAACACCCAAAATGCTGAAGCCTTCGTGCAATGGAAATACCGTCATTCACATTGCACGTGGTTTTGCTTCATGAAATGATATACCATTTACATTGCATATGGCTTTGAATCAGTTGCTTAATAGTTCTACATTCATTGGATTCATGGTATATCCAGGTCAAACTAAGACGGCCTGTGTCTGGCAACCCCCACACAGAACGACTTCAACGTCGCCGCGCGCTTTGACCCGACCCCACGGGCCCAGAACACTTTGGGAAGAGAGATTTCGCGACGGCGTTTGGTAGGGTTCGACGAGAACCAAGAGCCATAAAACGGGGAAGCCGGACACGATGGTCTCTTGCCAGGCTGCGTGGTCTTGCCAGAGCCTGAAGGCCCCATGACACCCGTGAGCTTCCCAGGCTGCGCCATGCCAGTGACATTCTTGAGGATCGGGTGGTCGCCGATAGCGAAACACACCTCGGTTGGGTTTTGTTTTATCATAGTGTTTTGTCCTTGGGCCATATACTGTTGCCTCCATTTGCTCAAGTCCCCAGGAAGAAGAACAATATATTTCCAGAAGTGATAGATTCCCTTGAAAACCAACAGGGGGCAATAAGTAAATGTTAAAGCAAATGGAAGTTTGAGAATGAGGGGGAAGTGTCCTCGGAAACCGAAACCCTTTTTGGAAGCGTGGCCCTATGGCTAGATATGGCTTGGGGTAGGTACAACCTCGGGGTCATGTCGACAATCCTGTCTTCCAAGTTGGAATGTGACATAACACGGGACCCTTGAGCTCCTTCTTGCTTGTTCTTTCCGAACTAAAAGGGTCAAGGTCCTGACACGTTTGTGCGTGTCAGGCTTTTTTTGCCACGGAACATCCACCCACTCCTCTCCAAGAGATACCGCTGACAAGTTCTTCGTGAGATGGCTGCTCTCATCCATGCCGCCGTTCATGGCTCACGTGCACCAAACCTTTCTTAGTTTGCGCTGTTTGCCTTTGCTAAATTGCTTGGTAAGTGGTGGGCTGGTGGGTGTATGAGGGCGTATTGGGGTGCTTCGGGGTGTCTGGGTGTGTCGGGGTAGTGTGGGTGTTGCGAAAAAGGTGTCGAAGATTGCAAAGGCCAGCCTCTGGAGTCATAGCCAAGTGCTTCTGCGCTGGCTGCTGATATTCAGGCTTGGCAATCCTTCTAGCTGCGGCCAGGGCGTGTCCCGGACTGCAAGAGTCATAAGGCCGGCTCACGTGGCAACACATTCCGCCTGAGACGTTGAGGATCCGCAGCTTGTCCTAGGAGAGAACTGTCATGCCAACCCCTCTTTACCATTGCCTGGGTTCTTCCCCTGATTCGTTGTCTGCCTCACGTTACATTTCCTCTGTTTCGTAACTCGAACAAAGAGTGTGCATCTATTGCGCCCTAAGAACTTCATCTTTGAATGCCCGTACCTGCTGTGTTGAGGTCCTCTTTCACTCCTCGGGATTGTCAGGAGCCCTATTGCGGAGCCTACAATGGTGCCCCATGCGTACAGGCCGAAAGTGGCCCTCGGGAAGCATTGTCAACAGGAAGCCCTCGACTCAGTCTACAACTTCTTGCTTAACGTTGGATTGGAAGGGGAGCAATAATTTATTTTTTGCAGTTGAGTGAGGATTTCCCACTAAACCACAATAAGCAAAAATGTAGAATGTGTCCCAAAAAACAACCATGACCTGATGTAATGGGGAGATGTTGACAGGAAATGCTTGAGACAGGTCCCACAGTATTGATCGAACGTGAACCGTTATGGAAAGCAAATCCCTCTGGCCTCCCATGATGCCTGCACGGCAGGCGTGAGAAATCCGTATCTTTGGGACTTAAAATGACTCTTCCGGCGCCGTTTCTCTATGGGGGATGTGTTCAAACCTAGACACTCGTCCAAGAACCCTTCAAGATACTCCTGGGCATGCCATAACCTTGCCGTGATGAGGACTTCATGCGAATGGGCTTCAAATGGTTTCAGGGTATGCTCAAAAGGTATTGGAGGTCTCGCAACTCTTGTTTCTTTCCTTCCCCTGCCAAAAATCCTCAAAAAAGTGACACCAACCCCAACCCAACAAAGGATACGCCAGGTATCCCTCACAAAAAGGGGCAGCCCCATCTGGGCTTCAACCGCCCAATATGGTGTTCGCACTTATTGCTGTCGTCTGCTAATTTGTCCTTTGTCCTTTTTGGGGGACCCCGTTTGAAAGGAAATCAAAACGAATCCAACCCTGAGAAGTTCCCCCCAAAAAGACTCATACCACCAACCATTGGAGTCCATCCAAGAGGAAAACTACCCTCGGGTTTTTGCAAAGGGCGCCATTCCATGTTTTGACCAGACTTTCCAGGTTTTCCCCAAAGTCATTGGAGAAAAGCACGTCTTTCCCTAGTCTTTGTCAAAAATATTGAACCCCCAAAACCCCCACACCCCCCAACATCCCCCCAACATCCCCCCAACATCCCCATCCCCCAAGCCCGGGGCCCCACACCGTGGAGCGCAGGCCCAAGCCCTGCAGCTCCAGGCGAAAGGTGAGGCCCACCGGAAAGCTCCAGGAGCTCTCCTCGACTTCGATTCGTCGCTTTGATGTGTCCAAGGGGTTTCGGGGGGTGGTGGGGGAAGGCCGGGGGGGGGGGGTGTGGGGTGTGTGTGGGCAAGAATTCGGTCGCTGGACGTTCCCCGAAGCTGATCGATTTAATGGCCACGGGGACGGGGGGGGGCGGGGTGGGGAGGAGTGAGGAGGGGGGGTTTATAAATCAGAGGTAGACATTACTGGTGTCCACGGAATTCAACTGGTGGAAACCCCACGGAAACGATCCTGCATGTTGAACTTTTGGTTCCAAAAAAGGAGGCAAGGAGTCTGCCTTTGGAGTGAGATAGAGGTTGGGGGGAAGCACTAGGTCATGTGTGCAATCAAACTCCCGAATCTGTGGGACATGGTCGGTCTAAATGAGAATCATGATTCTCTAAATTTCCCTATGTTGCAGCGACAATTTTCCGGAAACCCATAGGGCGCCACAAACCCACAACGATGGGAGACCCACCGATACACTTAGAGCTCTGAGCTGTCGTGATGCATCCGAAGGAAGCAGGAGCCAGTGGCTATGGAATGAGAAAAATGACATTACAAAGCAAACTGGGGGTGGTCGGTCGGTCGGTCTGTCGGTTGGTTGGTCGGTCGGGCTGTCGGTTGGCGGGTTGGTGGGTTGGTCAGTTGGTCGGTTTGTTGGTCTGTTGGTCTGTCGGTCGGTCGGTCGATCTGTCAGTCGGTCGATTTGTCGGGCGATTTGTCAATCGATCGTTGGACGGGCTCTTTGTCGGTCGGTCTGTTGGTTGGTCGGTCGGTCTGTCGGTGGGGGTTGGTTTTTCGGTTGGTCGGTTGGTTGGTGAGTTGGCTGGTCGATCTGTTGGTTGGTGACTCGGTCGCTCGGTCGGTCGGTCGGTTGCCAACTTGGCAGGCTACACGCGGATATTTTATTGCGCTAAATCAAAATGCACTTGCCTGCCTGCAATGGCTTTTGCTAACCTCGCTTTGGATTACAACTGACATTCCTGGAATATGGAGCGAACATGTGGGATTTGCGTTGACAGACATGCAGAAGGACCTCTGACAGCAATATTACCGATTCTGTTTACCTTGAGCCGGTATCAGTTTCATCCGCTCTTCAATTGACGGCACCTGCCTTTCGCTGGCCAGGAGGTTCTTCGAGCGACGAATTGACAGACCAACCAACCCACCAGCAGATAGGCCCACGGACGGCCAAGCAAAGATGTTGCCTGTTGGTTTACAATCGAAATCGCCGAAGCGAAATGTGCCGGTCCTGGCAAAGCCCAGAGCTCAGGACCTTGGCAAGGGCCAGGGCGTGAGCGGAAAGCCAAACATGGTAAATCAGCGTGGTCGGCCCAATGGTTAGATGTCCTTCCATATGGGTGGTTCCTGAAGTATGGAATATGACAAACCTTTATCAATGAGTGACTCCCAAACCAAAAGCACTCTCCGAAGGCCAGCAACCCGCATGACCTTGTTGTTGTTTTTCCTTCTTTTTCCGGGGCTCTTGTTTGGTGCCGTAGGGACGCTTTGCACCGAAAACCCAGACAAAAAAAGCTTCGGCATCTTCGGCCATGGACCCGTGGATCCCATTTTTCACCTGAGACTGCCGGCGCAAGGCCCTCGGACCAGCATGAGACCTGCCAGGATCCAATACCTAGCTCGAGCACTCGCGGAATTTTCGGGTGGGTTCCAAGGTATCTGCACAATCTTCTTGGAGGGGCCACATGTTTCGAAACTTTGATGGGCTTTTGGGGGTAGTGTTCCTCTGAGAACATCTGGGAGGCAACCTCGCATGGGCCAAACTTCGATGCGGTCACAGCTGCGAACGGCTCTCCCTCAAGCAGCTTCCATCATCAGAGAGCACGCCGCAATAACCTGTGCCACCGGCAAGGCTTTTTGCAGCCCAGTCAGCCCAGGTCCATTCTGCTGGGACTGACTCTCGTGTCTTCGTTGTGACAGAAACACACGACTGGACCGACAACATGTTAAGCTGGATTGCTCCCTCTTAATCCAATTTCTTCGACCGCAAATCGGGAAAGGGGCGTTTGTCCCATAAGCGTCACTGTAATGGTGCTGAGGCAAATCCTCATGACACTCACGATTTATGCATAGTAGAGGCACACTGATATGTAATAGCACTGTCACAATGAATGTGTTTAGACATGTCATTACTACACATGCAAGTGGACACCCCTCGGCATGAGTCTGTCGCAAAAAAAAATATGGGGGGGGAGTCGCCAAGGATGGTTTCCTCTTGGTTTTCCTCAAAATATCAGCCCAAACGAAGGTATGCCCCCCTTCCGTCCAGCCGCAGACCGCCACAATGCCCGCCGAGGGGAAGCGGGTCATCTCCCCCAACCCTCCGCCGTCGTTGAAGACCACCGCGCCCGAGTGCTGGGAGGCACCTCCGCCGAGCTACGGAGTTTGGGACCGGGTGGAAAGGAAATGAACCGAAAACCACCAATCCCTACCTGTCTTTTTTTGGCGAGGAGGAAAAAAAGCTCCTGCAATGCAGTGTCCCGACTTGTGGTTGGAGAAAGAAAAAATGGGGAAGGCCCAAATTGAGTCATGGCCGGTTCCGTTCTTGGGTGGATAGTCCCGATACCTTAAGCCCTTGAAGGATTGGGTACAGAACGGGGAATGACTTGGAACAGGTGTGGTTCATGGGGGTGAATTTGAAAGCCTGACTTCTTAGAGAAACCCTGGCCAAGAAATTTGTTGACATGTTGGGGATAGATCCAAAACGAACGAGTCGAGACTGGGAAACGGAGGTTGTCTCTAGAAAGGCAAGAGTTATGGGATGACACAACTGCAATGTGCGGGGCTCTCACATATGTGGGTCCTTCATGGGCTGCTTTCTACAGAAAATTGGAAGCTGCCAATGCGTCTGTCAACAAGCCATAAAACCCCAGCAGCAAGCCAATCAAATCCGACTGTTCCCATGAGCTCTCCCATGCTTTCAGCCAAGGCGCGATAGTTGCATGAGTCCTGCAGAACTCTTGACTTACGTAGCCTTCACTCAGGCTAGGCTCAAATCAATGTCAAAAAAAAACCTGTGATGGGAACGGTGTAGTTCTCTGAACTGAACCCCCAAAAAACAACTTGTACATGAGGCAAATTGCAAAGCTTTGCTCCTGGCTGCTGCAGAAGGGACCGGAGGTGCTGTTGGCAAAGGTAACTTGTCCCACGAGAGCGCTACCTGGGCGACGGCTTCGAAGGCCACTACAAGCTGATTGAATCCAAGGCACTTTAAAGAGAAAATAGGGCGTGTTCGAAAAAATGGCCACTAAGAAGAGTGGCTAGACATATATATATATATAATTATATAACGCATAGTGGCTGGCAGTAGACGGTTGTCCATGCAAAGAATCTCAACTCTTTGAAGTCTGGAAGCAAATAATTGTCATTGATTCATCTACTGGCACAAAAAAAAACAGCAGCGGCCACGATTGATCGGCCGCCCCTGCGCTTTGCGCTTGGAGAATTCCGTGGGAATGCGAACATAAACTCCCTGCAAATGACTCCAGGGCTCCATAGAGCCCTCCTTTTGAATTGCGACAGCCCCGAGTTTTGCCAGATATCAACGCCTGTCTTCGCCGAAGCCACACTGCAAGCTCGTCACTACTCCTCAGCTCGCGAGGCAAGCCAACGAGTTGTGGCAAGTGAGCCCCGCAAAGTAGGGCCAATCGATCACTCAGGGGACTTCACAGAATGGGCGCCAAAAAACCGAGATGTGCCACAATGAACCCAAAAAAACGCCCTTTGGCAGGGATGGCAATTCTGGTAAGCATCTGTCGCCGTCCCAAAGCAGCTTGATCTGCGCAGGGGGAGCCAATGGGATGTTGGAGCCTCACGCGAATCGGCGAAGATGAGCCACATGTCGCACAAACGAAGTTAAACCGCGTAAGGATCCAAACAGGCACCTGTTCATGATTGAGCACGTGACTCTTGGCTCTGCGTTACTGCACGCGCACCCTGTCCACATTCCAATTCCAGAGAACCTCTGCATTCGATTTGTGCTTTCTGGCCTCTTTCTCTCTCGCTCTCTCTCTCTCAACATCGTTCGGGTTTCTGTCTCCCTCTTTCTTTGCAGGGGCCCTTGTTCTCCATCAACCTTAACCCAGCTCTAGCCTCAACTCCGGGCTCCGATCCCCGCTAGAAGTGCAACCTTTGTGCTGCATGGAACTCCAAGCACCAAAAAAGGTGAAAAGAAAGCGAAACCCACCATTCCAAAGGTTGATTTACATACCCCTCGACATACCTTTTTTTGCAGGAATACTTGGTGGTTGTTCGCCTCGGCCCCCAGGGCCGGGAAGCGGACAGACCCCTTCAGAACCTCTTTGGGATCTTCTGAAACCAGCTGACGCATTTCGGCGTCGACTCGCTCACTTTAATGAAAGCACTTCAAGGCAAACTAAAGCACAGTATATACCTCAAAGCCAACCCCTTGCCCAAGAGGGGGGAGGCGCGCAGGAAGGGTCATAAGATGATGCTCTGATGATAGTTGTCGTCATCATGGTGGTCATCATCATCTCTCATGATCATCATCCCTTGGCTGATGGTACTGCTAAGCATGCGACGACGGTAGTTACATGATCATGATCATGACGGTAACGCAAAGGATGCCATGACTATGGTTATCATTCTCGTGGCAGTAGTTATCATGTTCATGATGGTCATGCACAGGATGCTATAAAGATAGTTCTCATCGTCACGATGGTAATGCAAAGGATACGAGGATGATAGTTATCATCATCCTGATGGTAATGCAAAGGTGCAACTGATGGCCATGCTAAGGATGCAATGATGATAGTTATCGCGATAAGAGCGCTATGATGATAGTTATCATGATAATGCCAAGGATTCAACATGCTGGCGTCGTGATCATCATTTCTGGGTTCTCTTGTGTGACGGACTGCTGGTAATGCTAAGGATGCCATGATGATAGCTATCATCATCAGGGTTGCAATGCAAAGGATGCTATGATGATAGTTACCATCTAATGGTGCTGCAAAGGATGCTACGATGACAGTTATCAACATCATGGTGGTCATCATCAGCCTTCATGATCAAATTTCTTGACTGGTGGCAACGCTAAGGGTGCGATGATGAGTGTTATCATGAACCATGGCAATGCTAACTTGGTTTTCTTGTATGACGGACTACTGGTGATGCCAAGGGTGCTACAGCGATAGTTATCATGTTCATGATGGTACTGCAGAGCATGCTATGATGATAGTTATCATCCTCATGATGGTGCGTCAGAACTGACGTTAGACCCCGATGGTAATCCTAAGGACGCGATGATGATAGTTATCATGATCGTGATGATGGACTGCTGGTAATGCTAAGGATGCTACGATGATGGTGTGTCATCATCTCTTGGTTTTCAATTTCTTTCTCAGTAGGACTAAGGATGCTGTGATGATACTTATCATCACCAGGGTGATTCTGCAAGGCATGATTCGCTCTCATGGTCAGTACTTTTTGACTGGTGGCAATGCTAAGCGTGCGATGAGGATAGTTTTCATGATCGTAATGATGGACTGCCGGTAATGCAAAGAGTGCTATGATGATAGTTATCATGATCATGAAGCTAACGCAAAGGATGCTATGATGACAGTTATCATCGTCATGATGGTGTCATGATCATCATCTCTTGGTTTTCATATCCCGTTTCTTCTTCTTTCTTGTGCGTTTCAGAGAACTGACGTTGGACCCTGATGGTAATGCTAAGGACGCTACGATGGTAGTTATCATCATCAAGATGGTATTTCCAAGGGTGCTATGATGATAGTTACCATCCTGCTGCAAAGTAACCATCATCACGATGGCTATGCAAAGAGTGCGAGGATGATAGTTATCATCATCCTGATGGTGCTGCAAAGGATGCTATGATGACAATTATCATCATCAACATGGTCATCATCAGCTCTCATGACCAATTCTTCTTGACTGGTGGTGATGCGAAGGGTGCAATGATGATAGTGAAATGAATCGTGGTAGCGCTAAGGGTGCTATGATGGTAGTTATCATGATCATGATGGTGTCATGATCATCATCTCTTGGTTTTCAAATTTTAGACCCCGACGGTGATGCTAAGGATGCTATAACGCTACTTATCATCATCAGGTCAGGACGGTAATGCACAGGATGCTATGATGACAGTCATCATCATCATGGTGGTCATCACCAGC